TTAGCTCCACAAAGGCCAGCAGCTAATGTGCATTGCCAGAAGAAGTGCAGTTAAAATGGAATGAATATCTGGAATTGTTTCAAAAACTAAAGGGAATTTTTCTAACATTTGCTTATCATCCATGAGGTCTGTGCTTTCCTTTTCGCACCCCCAGAGTTGTTAGCTCTGAAAGATCTGTTCCACGTGGTTGATAAACTCTCTGAAACACTAACCAGTAGTCTATCGCCTTGATGCGATGCATTGAACTACTCATTTCACAAATATGTTAGACAGAGAATCTTGTGCCCTGGTTGCTGGCTTGTAACAGATATTCTACATACTCACACACACACATACACACACTGCAAGGGTAAAATATGGGGGGATCAAGGCTAACTAGCAATGGTTCCCCCAACTCCATTGTTTTCTGTCTTCAGTCACATGTTGAAAATCACCCCATAACAGAATCTGATAACTCAGCAAGTGCCCTTACACAAGCGTCTTCACTCTAGGGGCCTCTGCTCCCCATTTGTAAAGCAGGGGGAACAATCCTGTGCTGGCCCACCTCAGAGTGTTGGTGTCAGAACCAAAGGAGATAATGGATGTGAGCCTGCTGTAATAAGAGAAAGTATTTTATGAATACTGTTCTGAGGATTCACATGAATTTGGGGGTTGTGTAGCATGGTTTTATATGTCTGTGACTGTGGGCATCAGTGTGTACTTAAGTTTACTCTGAACAGAATAAACCCAAGTAGCTACAGATCTTCCCTCATCAGCATCTGCCCTTAAAGTTGTGATAATTATGTTTGAGCAGAACAGAAACTCTCCCCAAGCTGAGAACTTATATCTGACATCTCTTCAATGGAGCTAAGGCCATTCTTAGTATAATCCTTCTATTTCCTATCAGATGCTTTTAAATACAGAAATAACTTGAACAGTTAATACCCCCACCCCATTGTTCCTCTAAATATCTTTTAGAGAGTTCCTTGTGGCCCCAAGCTGCCTCCATGTGCCCCAGCATCCCCTGTCGAGTGTCACCCTGCCAGCACCTTTAGCTGTGTACTTCTCACAATGAGATATGATTTCCACAGCAGACTTTCCTCTAGGAAATTTACCCGTTTGCTATACACAATACAAACGCTGTGGATCAAGGTGGAATGGCTGGCTTTGTAAGCAGAGGCAGTGAAGGCAGCCTGACACTGTGTCCAGATGCCTCTCACAAGCCACAGCTTTATGAGTTAATTATTGGCCCTCACATAGCATGTTGCATCTGAAGTGATACTTTATACATGTTACCTCATTTATCTTCCCATTGTCCCTTAGAGGCCGGGAATCTCATAAAATCCACCCAGGAAGAATTGGTTCTTAAGTAGTCATCCCCGCCAGGTGGTCCCTGGGCAGCAAGGTGGGAGCCTGTTGCAAGGTTTCCCATTTCCCCTTATCCTATAACCTCAGCTGTTTGGGGCCAGGTCCCTGTGTTTATTGCAGCCACACATATTGGGTGCCCCCTGTGCTGAGCACTGGGGACCTGATCACAAAGCCACTGACCACACCAGTGGTCCCCCAGAAGCTGGAGAACATGAAGAAAGGAAGGACAGCCCCACTTGACAGTAGAGAAGGTTTCCTGGGGGAGGAGTGATCGGAACTAACCCAGAGAGGGTGTGAGGGATCACCCACAGGAGGGAGTGGAAGAAGGAAGGCAGAGGAAGGAGACTCAGCCAGGGCAGTTTGGGGCAAGGCTAGAAGACAAGAAGGGAGGCTGCTTTAGGAATCGGAGGTCAGGTCACAGAGAGCCTTTGTGTGTGGTACTGAAGTGGATAGGGATCCAGTTTTGAGACTTAGGCTCCCCTCATAGCTCAGTTGGTAGAGAATCCGCCTGCAATGCAGGAGACCCCGGTTTGATTCCTGGGTCGGGAAGATCCCCTGGAGAAGGGATAGGCTACCACTGCAGTATCCTTGGGCTTCCCTTGTGGCTCAGCTGGTAAAGAATCCGTCTGCAATGCGGGACACCTGGGTTGGATCCCTCGGTTGGGAAGATCCCTGGGAGAAGGTAAAGGTTACCCACTTCAGTATCCTGTCCTGGAGAATTCCATACACTGTATAGCCCCGTGGGGTCACAAAGAGTCGGACATGGCTGAGCGACTTTCACTTTCACTTTTGAGACAGGTAGGAAAGCTTTCATCTCTTCCTTCATTGTCTCCCCTCCATCTCCAGGCTCCCCCCACCACAGCACGCAAACACTTTTTCCCTTAGTTAAGTTAGATCTGACATCCTCTAGTTTTTCTCCTCAATTTTTTTTATTGTGATAAAATACCCATAGCATAAAATTTACCATCTTAAGCATTTTTAAGTCTACAGTTCAGTGGTATTAAATACATTCACAGTGTTGTGTAACCATCACCACCACCCAGCTCCAGAGCTCTTTTTGTCTTAAAAAACCAAACCTCCATACCCATTAAACACTAACTCCCCACTCCCTGTCCCCCTGACAACCACCATCCCACTGACAGTCTCAGTGATTTCAGCAACTCTAAGTATCTGCCATTTCTTGCATGAATGAATGAAGAAGTGAATTATTTCTCTTGGGTTGACTTGATGTGATAGCAGAGAGCAGATCACTGGGTAGATGATTCAACACCTTAATCAGGGAAGGACAAAAAGTAAGTCTCCACTGTCCTGGTAGAGGGCCTGCCCCGCATGGGTTCCTTCCTTGACACTCAGTTTCATAAGCAGAGTGGGAACCCACAGCCGTGTTTCATTGTCCCACCTTTGGGGCACTGCATGCATCACAGACGGTTGGTCTTTTTTGATCGCGTAGAGTCGTCTTAACAGAGACAATTATAAAGTAAGAAGAAAGATGGGTTTGGAGGACAATGCTCAGAGAAGGAAACGAGAGGCGGTCCAGGTTGTTGGAACTGCACGTTTTGCATGCTTGCTTATGATTTAAATGCAGGGCCTGGGGGAGATGAGGTTATTAATGTACAGTAGAGGGCAGAGAAAACATCAGCTGTGCAGGATACGAAGTGCTCGGCTTTGACGGCAGTTTCCCTGCCTCTGCCTCCTGAGGCAGGGCCTCGAAGTGTGAGCCGGCTTCCCCAGCCCCTCTTAACGTCCCGACTGTGCAGAGAGCCGTCCTGAGTGAGGGTGAGCAGCGGCACTCTCCCTTCCTCGTGGCGCTTTAGTTTTGTATGTCAAGCACTTACTAAACTGACTGAGGAGTCTCCCACCAGGATTTTCTAGATATTTCAGACATTATTCAGGTTACTGGGACCCGCCCAGAGTGTACGCTCAGATATTTGTCTTCCATTGTAGATTTTCAGAGGGCACTCAACCCAGAATGAGCCAGATGTTCCAAGGAGCTGAGGGGAGGGGGAAGGACAATCACTTTTTAATGGCGCAGAAATTGAAAATAAATGGCTATACAGATTATTTCTAAGATTCCGTCCCACCCCACTCACCAAAGCTGATTCTTTTCTGATTCTTCCAAGTAACTGATGTTCCCTCACAGATTAGAAATTTCCCCAGCAGCCCAGAACAAGCCTGCGTTTTTCTTGTCAGTGTCTCCCGTTTTGAATATGAATCCTGCCTATCAGATGTTTGGTGCCTAAAGCTGCTCTTTTGGCAGAAATGAAATCTGAAGAGGTGGCTTTTATCTAAAAAATTTTAGTTAGTCTAAGACTTTGCAAAAAAACTGTCCTCACAAACCAAGTCTCTTTATGTCAGAAACCCCAGTTTTTTATTCATTAGAGGGTTTCCTGCTGTTTTCACCTTGGGGTGGGGGCCAACCTCACCTCACCTCTAGTCAGATGAGGCTATGACCTAATGCGGAACATCAGGTGATTGAGAACCACACCCCTCCCCACCTCACTCTCCCAACCTGACCTCCCTCCCCACCTCTCTCTTCTGACCCGACCTCCTGAAATCCCACCTCACCCTTCCGACCTGACCTCATGAAATCCCACCTCTACGGCGTCAGCCGTGGTTTCAGGCTTTGATCCCACAGTTACATGGAGGTCCCCCAACCAGGGGGGAAGGGCACGGCTTAAAGAGATAAAGGTGACCAAGAAAGACCCTGCCAACTCCATGATCTCTCTCAGCTCTGTTAGCGTTATAAGATAAAAAAACATTTCCTTTTGTGTAAAATACTGTTTTCCAGTCTCTTACTTTCAGACTGTGTGTGTCTTTAGTTTTGAAGTGAGTCTCTAGAAAGCAGCATATATATGGGTTCCTCTTTTAGTATCTATGGGCTTTCCTGGTGACTCAGATGGTAAAGAATCCAACTGCAATGTGGGAGAGCTGGGTTAGATCTCTGGCTTGGGAAGATCCCCTGGAGGAGGGCATGGCAACCCACTCCAGTATTCTTGCCCGGAGAATCCCCACGGACAGAGGAGCTTGGCAGACTACAGTCCATGAGGTCACAAAGAGTTGGACATGACTGAGCGAGGTGGGGAGGGAGGTCGGGTCCTACTATATAGCACAGGGAACTATATTCAATATCCTGTGATAAATCATAATGGAAACAAATATAAAAAGATATAAAACCAAGTCACTTTGCTGCACAGAAGAAATTAACACATTGTAAATCAACTATACTTCAATAAAAAAAAATTTTAATAAAAAAATTCCAGTCTGAAGAACCTGAGGGAGAAGGTAGTGAACCCTCCCTTTTACACAATGAGAAACTGAGGCCCAGAGTGAGGAGGCGTGGTGTCTGAGGACATGCCATTGGTCAGGCTGCTGTGGGTCTGAAACTGGGTTTACCTGGCACCCAGGCAGAAGGCTGCCTTTTGGAGACAACAGGCACGATTAGTGGCAATATTTCGGGGCCAAATCACTTTGAGGTATGAAAACTGAAATGTCTGGGAAAAATAAGAGAAAATTTTCAAAATGGCTTTCTGACTCTGGGTAAACAGTAACCACATTTTTTTTGCCTGTTGGAGGCCTGGTTTTTAATCACTCCACAAGCAGTTTTCATTTCTGTAGTAAAATTGCTTGTGGTTCTATTTAATTTGTTTCTGCAGGAGCCAGCTTTGGTGAAGATCTCTGAGGAGCTGGCGGGCATTTTAGCACAGCACGCACAGCCAGTCAATGAGAAACGGTTCCCAACATGGAGGAAATTCCTGCAAACATTTCTCAGTCAAGGTAAATAAGACTGTAAAGCTTCTATTGAGGTTTGGTCTGCACAACCTTGAATTCTAGTTTTGGGTCAACCTGGGGCCAGTGTGAATACCTAGAAACTCTTGCATTGGTTTAGAAAAGTGCTCTCCCAAGCAGATTTTTTCTTTGAAACTTTGCCTATTTATCTTGCACTTAGCCTCTTAAGTAAACAGGAACTGAGTATGCCAGGCATGCAGTGCATAGCTCGAGATTCTGACTGTATTTTTGCACCACAGACTTCTGAGAAGTAGGCTTTGGAATCAGACGACCTCAGTTTGGATCTCATCCTTGACCTTGAGCAAGGTTCTTAAACCCTCGGAGGCCCAGTTTTCTCACCTACTTACAGGGTTGTTGGCAGGATTCAATGAAATACATATATGAAGGTTTCTACCAGGGAGCCTGACTCAAAATAAGTCTTCAAGAAATGTTAGTTTCTCCTTCCATTTTCTAGGAGAGAAGAAATGGTCTCACTTCCAGTTCTGAAGTTAGACCTTGTAAATAAGAACTCGCTATAGTCTTGGAGCCCAGAGTGACTTTGGGGCTCTAAAATCACTGCAGATGGTGACTGCTGCCATGAAATTAAAAGACACTCCTTGGAAGAAAAGCTATGACCAACCTAGACAGCATATTTAAAAAGCAGAGACATTACTTTACCAACAAAGGTCCATCTAGACAAAGCTATGGTTTTTCCAGTGGTCATGTATGGATGTGAGAGTTGGACTATAAAGAAAGCTGAGCACCAAAGAATTGATGCTTTTGAACTGTGGTGTTGGAGAAGACTCTTGAAAGTCTCTTGGACTGCAAGGAGATCCAACCAGTCCATCCTAAAGGAAATCAGTCCTGAATATTCCTTAGAAGGACTGATGCTGAAGCTGAAACTCCAATACTTTGGCCACCTGATGTGAAAAACCGGCTCACTGGAAAAGACCCTGATGCTGGGAAAGATTGAAGGCGCGAAGAGAAGGGGTCGACAGAGGATGAGACGGTTGGATGGCATCACTGATGCGATGGACATGAGTTTACATAGTCTCCAGGAGTTGGTGATGGACAGGGACGCCTGGCGTGCTGTAGTCCATGGGGTCACAAAGAGTCGGATACAAGTGAGTGACTGAACTGACTGATAGTCCTGGAGCAGAGCTCCCTGACTTCTCAGTTTTCCGACGATGTTAGGAGGTCAGTGGATGAGGGAATGAATGGAACAGTTGCGGAGGTCCTCTGGGAGCGCTGCAACACACTGGCCCTCACTCTTTAGGAGGTAACAGTATAAGGTGGGTATTCTTATATGCTTACCCACATGCATGATAAGAGAAGGCTAGGATACAGACCACAGAAGCTATCTTTCCACTCTATTCACCACTGTCAAATGATAACATGTAACATAAATATATAATAATATCATAATAATAGGGCTTCCCAGGTGACACTAGTGGTAAGAACCTGCCTGCCAGTGCAGGAGATCTGAGAGACATGGGTTCGATCCCTGGGTTGGGAAGATCCCCTGGAAGAGGGCACAGCTACCCACTCCAGTATTCTTGCCTGGAGAATCCCATGGACAGGGGAGCCTGGCGGGCGACAGTCCATAGAGTCGCACGGAACAGGACACAACTGAAGCAACATAGCATGCATGCACGCACATCATAATAATATCAGATGATAGCAGCAGCAGCGGCAACCACCCAATGGTGAGAACAGCACAGTGAAAACAACATAATAAGCACAGTCTGTGCTTACCATGAGCTAGACTCGCCTTGTGGCATGTGAGGCAAGTGAGTTCTTAGTACCCTGACTAGGGATCGAACCCATGCCCCTTGCAATGGAAGCATGGAGTCTTCACCACTAGATCACCAGGGAAGTCCTTAGACTCTATTCTAAGCACACCAATATTAATTTCTTTAATCCTCCTAACAGCCCTATGAGGTGGGGACCATCATCACCCTCCCGCCAGAGAGAAGGAAACTGAGGTACAAAAGATTGAGTAACTCTCCTCGAATCACTCTGTGAACACTTAACAGAGCAATAAAAGGCCACCCCTGAGCTCCTCCAGGAGTCTTGGCCAGAGACAACAGGTACATTCACCAAGGAATACCTCTTGGCTTGGGATATGAGATCGTATAGAAAAAGAAAGACCTATTGGGTGTTGGAATACACTGCAAGGCAGAGTGGGGTGGAAGGGCATAGTAAACACACTGTTAATGAATTATTTAGATTGGACGGCCCACAACCTAACAAGAATGCTGAGAAAGGATTCTTCACTGGCGCGGGGAGAAGCAGAGGGCAGTTATGCTGCACAATCTCTAGTGTCCTCTCAAATATAAATTTCTGTGATTCTACAAATTTCCACATAAACCCACTACCAGAAAAGTAAAACTAAAAGAGTCAACCCCAAAAAATAAATAAATAGAAGAGTCAGCCCTGTGCATAAGTGGGAGAAAATAAAGTAGGTAGGTACACCAGCTGGCTTGCCTAGTGGCTCAGACAGTGAAAACTCTGTCTGCAACGATGGAGACCGCAGCTCAATCCCTGGGTTGAGAAGATCCCCAGGAGAAGGGAATGGCAACCCACTCCAGTACTCTTGCCTGGAGAATCCCATGGACAGAGGAACTTGACAGACTACAGTCCATAGTGGTCTCAAAGAGTGAGACCTAACACTCTGAGCGACGAACACTTTCACAACAAAAAATGGTTAAGAATAAAGGATGTTTTTCAAGTTATGAGGGGAAGACTCTGAAGATCTCAGATCCATACATGATAGGATGTTAGAAAGTTTCCAGATCTTCTAAGGTCAGCCTGCAAACCTTCCTCTAGCCTATTTATTTTCATGTGAGCTTTGTAGATTAGAAAGGGTTTTCCCAGCCTGTCTCATATGGGCTGTACAACCACAAGCTTAGGCTTTGCCTCAGCCTCTGTCATTTCTATCCTTTCTTCCTCTAGTTCAGCTGTGTTGTAAGCACAATACTTATTTATAGGAGGAAGAACAAGCTTTATTGAGACACTTTGGTAGTCAAAGAAACAGGCTTAACACTAGGAAGTGACTAGGACAAAACCACAAAACAAGTGCATGGTGAGTGGGGACGCAGTTAGAGCCCACAATTTTAGCACGTCTCAGAAATCTGGTTCTGGGGAGTCACGTGTGTTCAAACCTATTCCCAGCTCTGAGCCCAGCGCCTCCAGCAGGCCCTGCATAAAATGATTACTGGCTAAGCGAGGCTGCCCACCCAGGTTTCCTGACCCTAAGGGCGCTGTCTCCTGCCATCTTCCCTGTTGCCTGTTTCATTTCATTTCTACTCTCTGAAGTGTGCTTATAGTCGCAAAATGTGCTATAGATTTGATTTCTACATTGTCAAAGCATTATATCAAAGGCAATACGTTTTTAAAAGGGGGGCGGGGATTAATTACTTCGAAAGGAAAAAAATAAACACTGAAAAGACTGTGGTCCTAATACTGAGACGGCAATACAAATAAGCTACTTTGAAGTAAAATAACCTTGTACCTATAAAGGACAACCTGTTTTCACTGGAGCATAATCTTTCAAAATGTAGGTGATAATGAAAGCCACAAAGTTTTCTGAATCAGAGAGACTCAATAGGTTTTTGCTTGTTTTTGTGCATTGTGTTATTATTGTTTTGTTACTTTTACCTTGCTAAATCTTCAGCAAGTATTTAGGTACAGCACACACTTGAAAATTTCATTTAAAGAAAAGCATATCTCAAACCAACCAAGAAGATGAATTAGCTTTCCTTCTGAAACTCAGTTTTCTTTAGGACCAGCTTCAACCACATTTATAGACATTTAAGGAAAGAGCCTTTTGTATAAAGTAACAGATAGCTGCATTTGCGACATTTTTAAATCTCAGGATTTAACCATATATGCTGTTCAAAGCCTGTGAGCATAGGTCACCTCCTAGCAAATTCCCAAAATACACGTCAAATTTATCTTAATACTGTTGGGCTCCAGAGGCTGCCTTGTCTAGGAATACTTTTAAATTATGTTATCTAATTCTTCACAAATAATATTCAGTTTTTTTCTATAAAAGGGAAATATACAGTAAGATTTACAGGTTAGGCCTAAAGACAGAAAATAGGGCCATGTAAATTTTGTGGGCAGGCTTCCCAGGTGGTGCAGTGGTAAAGAATCTACCTGCCAATACAGGGGATGCAGGTTTGACCACTGGGTTGGGAAGATCCCCTGGAGTAAGAAATAGCAGCCCCACTCCAGTATTCTTGCCTGGAGAATCCCATGGACAGAGGAGCCTGGCGGGCTCCAGTCCATGTGACTGCAGAGTCGATTTAGTTTAGCATCTAAACAACAAATTTGTTGCAATGAACATCAAATTTGCCTCTGCGATTTTGGTTATTCAGAGTAGAAGGTGAAATAAGATAAATTATAAAGCTCCCATTATCAGCATGGAGCAAGCTTACCTGTTTCTCAAGAATGGCAGCATTTTCTGGCTCCATATTTTAAAACAAACCAGCTATATACAGGAGTCCTTTGGCTGACATAATGGTCAGTGTCCTCTTATGTCTGATAAAAGCCCTAACCTGTCAGAACTTGAAAAAGCAGTGAAGCCGAACAGGAAGCACAGTGGTCCTCAAGGTGCAAACTGTGGCCTGTGGGCAGTTAATTCCCCCTGAGGGGTTTGCTATAGACCTCAGGTTCATCATTTATAATGAATGGGCATAGGCTTGATGATCTTTACAGTGTCTTCCTAGTTAGGATCAAAACTACCACTCATTGAGTCCAACTACACACCAAGCATTGGACTAAATACTATAGATCACGAAAATTCACAACGTCTGGTGAGATAGGTCTTATTATGCCAATTTTAGAAATGACGGAAAAGAAATTTATAGAATTGAAGCTACTTGCCCAAAGTCTCACAAGACATAGCAGATGCAGGCTCTGAGCCTGAGTCCCTCTGCCAAAGCCTGGGTTTTTTCCTCTTGCTGTATTAATGGGCACAGTCCACATGGGTGTGTCCTTTTACCCACTCCATGCGTTTCCCCCCAGGAGGCGTGATTGAAGCGTACCCACCTTCAGAGAGTGTTACCAACGTGACGGTGGACATGCTGATAGAACCCAATGGAGAAATCAGGCTGCTGTCAACAGGAGACCAGTTTCATGCTGAAGGCCCATTCATCTCCTCTGGGACCACCATGCCTCAGACCTCAGTGGACCCCCAAGTTCTCAGTTCTTTGTGCCTTCAAATTGGAAAGGCTTGTAAGATGAAAAACGTGATTGGTCACTTTTCCATAGACCTGGTAACTTTTATTGATCCAAGCACCATGGAGCAGCAGGTGAGTCGACGTGATGCCATGTGAAATACTGAAATATGTAAAGACTCCAGTACCATCCATGCTCATCCCACAGGGACTGTGAGGGAGCCTCCAAGATTCGCTGCTCTTCTGATGAGCTGATTGTATATGGTCCATGCTAGTTCGGGTGAGATCATACTTTAAGGCTGTAAAGATGGGACCAGTGTTAACCAAGCAAAGGGTTCATTGCCCAATGGGCACAGCAGCCAATACTATGGCACAGCTTTTGAGAAAAGATTTTATTTCGAGGTCAGCTGGCAAGGAGACAGGAGGTATGGTTCACATCTGCATCTTCCCTGATCTGGGGTTTGGTCAGGCTTTTAGGGTAAGAGCGTTGGTATAGGGCAGGTTTTCACTGAAAGGCTTTGGGACTCAGCCATTCATAATGAGGTGTGGTGAAAGGGACTTGAGCAGCAGCTCTTCTGGGACGGCAGACCCATTGCCTCAGAAAGGGCTCTGGCAATCAGGCTCTGGTCTTGTCCCAGTCCTTTGATTCTGTGGAAGGAGAAACTTTGCTTTTGGGTGTTGTCTGAGGTCAAAATTTTCTCCTCTGTGCTTATTTTGGCTGTATGACTTACGGTTTTGTTCTCTTGTCTCTGAAAAACAGCTCAGTTTCTTGTTAGAAGCAGCATAGGTCCAGTTTCAGGCTGGTTCTGCCAATACCCCAGGGTCTCCTCATTCAGTACAGCTGGAGTTTAAATCGCTGCAACTTATGCTGATGGGGTCCGAGTGCTGCCCACTAATGCTCTGTCTGTATCTTATCATGAGACTATTCTGTGCCATCCAGGGAGGGAACCTTTCTAGAATCTGTTCTTAAATAGAGAGTCAATCACTAGAAAAGAGGAAAGAGTTCTTATTTCTGTTCCTTTTTCTTATCAGTAGTTCACCAGCAACTTAGGTGGTCAATTTTTTCTTCTTAAAAATGTATTGGAAAATATGCATAAATATAAGAAGGCCTAAATACTGATATAATGAACCAAGACCACCTCCAGTCCTGTGTACTTGCCAGTCCCCCTCACATGGCCCTTCCTCCTCCCAGAGGTATCCATCATGTTATAATTGGGACTTATATTCCTTTCTATATCTTTATGCTTTCTAGTGCACATGAATGTTATTCATCCAGGTTCATCTGCCTGACATGCATCAAGCCAAAATGCTGAAATACTGATGTCAGCAAAAAAAAAAAAGGGGGTCTATTCACAGGGCAGCCAAGCAAGGAGAACAGAGAACAAGTCTCAAACCTGCCTCAAAGGGCTTGAGATGTTTATGGGATAAAGGAACAGGGTGGTCTTAGGCTTGGGAAGGACAGGAACAGGTGATTGGAAAGAGAAAAAGGTGAGGGAGTCATTCTGCACAGGAGTAGCTGCTAAGCAACAGGCTTCCCCAGGGGAACGTGCTCAGTCCTGCCTGGCTCTTTGGGGCCCCATGGACTATCGCCCTCCTGCCTCCTCCACCCTTGGAATTTTTCAGCAAGAATAGTAGAGTGAGTTGCCATCTCCTACTCCAGGGGATCTTCCTGACTCAGGGATCGAAGTCCCTGTGTCTCTTGCGCCTCCTGCATTGGCAGGCAGACGTAGAGGGGGCATGTTAAAATGGAGCACCTGTCATTATCCAAGGGTGAATTTTTGGCCTCTGATGTCAAAAGGCCACCAAGCTGACACTCGGGCTGCCCAGCTTGGGGGGGTCAGTGGTCCTACCCAGTGTTAACCAGCTCAGCTTGAATTAGACACAGCTGACCCCAAGTTTCTGAGAAACAGCTCAGGCAAACATAGTGTTTAGGCTAAGTACGCTTGGAGGACACACACTTTTCTTTAAATAGCAACAACTAAAATGACCTTGATCAGTGAAGGCAGTTTGCAGGTGTAATGGATTTATATATTTAATATATAGCTTAATTTTGCTTGTTTTAAAATTTTTTTAGATCATAACATCCTATGTATTCTACTATAACATGCTTTTTTACTTATTCAATATTTCATCCATGAGATTCTGCATGTGTCCAGGTGTGCCTCTGATGTACAGTAATTCTAGATAACTTTTAACCTGTTTTGTTTTGCCCCCTTCTCCCCCTGCCCCAGAAATTATAATGTTTAAATTCACTACTACTTCACAAGACTCATTCTGCAAAATGTTCAGTTCCTCTTGCATTAGTGTCAGTGACAACTCAGTCTAAAGGATGGAATGACCTCCTGCTTTCCCTCTCCTGATACAATCTGCCCAGCCAACGTTGTAAATAAACTTCAGTTGTTTTATTACTCTCAGTTTTACAGTTCTCCATTTCAGTCAGATGATAGTTCCAAAGCATTTTGTGTTTATGTTTTGAGCAGTAGTTTTCAGCTTGTTTAATAATCATTTTCCATTTGCCTTCCTGAACCCTCCACTGGTTTTGCATTCCTTTTTCAGGCCCACACATGGAGAGAGAAAAGGACAAATGGAAGGGCATTTGGGAATCAGCATGGGATGGAGGGAGGACAGGAACAATACCCTCTGGAAAAGAGAGGATTTCCCCTCCAAATGTCTGTCATGAGAAACAAAGATCAAATCTATGATCCCTGGAGCAGTAGGGAGGATGGAACTGTGTGGACAGCTGACTATGGTTTTTATGCATTCACGTTTGATGTAGAGAGAATTGCACCCTTGGCAGTGAGAGGTATCGTCTTCAAACACAGAGCTAGTCCTGTTCCGGGGCTTACAGCCCTTCCCAGCTTCGGGGACAAAGGTCCCACCCTTCACAGGGCTGGCCCCACATGCCTTAACATCCTTTGCTCACACCAGCTTCCCCTCTATTTCTCTTTCCCAACCCCTTACTCATCATGCTACCTCCTGCCACAGAGCTTCTCTTTACACATGCCGCCCCTCGCCTGAAATGCTCTTGCCTCTTCTAGGTAACCTTCTCATCCATCATAGTGCAACTCAAGCCACGCTTTCTTAGGGAAGCCTCCCCCAAACTTCCTGACAAAGTCAAACTCCCCTGTTTTAGATTCTCATATCATCGTGTATCTCTCCTTTATATCACGTGCTTTTGTTACAACTTACAGTTACTTACATGATTATCTGATTAAAGCTGTCTCCCCCTGTACAGTAGAAGCTCCCTGAGGAGATATATTTTATCTCTTTTTGTGTGCTGCTTAGTTCTCAGCCTACCTCTGACCTGGCACAAAGTAGGTGTTCAGTAAATTATTTGTTGAATGAATGAACAATAGAGGTGTTCTAGCAGATGTTGGATGATGTTGTTGAGGCTTTTAGAGAAGAGCTCAAAAATTAATTGATGGGTGGGATAAATAAATATTTATCCAAGATTGTCTGATCTTATCATACTAATACTTTACCTTGTCTGTTAATACTTTAGTGTACAGCCATTTGTGTAACAATTTTCAGTAGAACACTGGAAGAAGCTCTCAGTGAGCACATAGAAAGGAGTTTCTACACTAGCAAGGGATGTATGCTAACCCTCTATATGTAATAGATTATTTGAAAAATCACTGGTATCTCCTCTTGCCATTTTGCAAGTGACATCAGTTTGGAAAGCATTTTATTTTCTCTTCTAACTCAACTGCATTGTGGTGCTAGTGAAGAGATTGGCATACTAGCAATCTGTCATTTTTTTTGCCAGTCTAACAGGGGAAAAAAATGACATCTTGTTTTCTTCAATATTTCTTTCATTATTAGTGAGGATGAACATCTTTACTATGTCTCTTGGGTATTTATATATCTTGTCTTAATTGCCTTATCATATCTTTTGCCCCTTTTACATTGAACTATAATACAAATGCTGATTTGTAGAAATTCTTTGTATATGAGAAATTGCTTCCCTGGTGGCTAAGATGGTAAAGAATCCGCCTACAAAGCGGGACTTGGGTTCAATCCCTGGGTTGAGAAGATCCCCTGGAGAAGGACACAGCAACCCACTTCAATATTCTTGCCTGGAGAATCCCCATGGACAGAGGAGCCTGGCAGGCTACAGTCCATGGGGTTGCAAAGAGTAGGACAGGACTGAGTGACTAAGCAGAGCACACAGCACATAAGAAACTGTTATTCTTTGACTTTTATACATGTTACAAATACCTTCTCCAGGTGTCACTTGTGGCTTTTTTCCAGTCCTGTTTCTCCACCATAAAATCACCATTTTTTCTTTGTAATTGATTAGTAATATTTTGTGAAAAGGTGTTTCAAGGAATAATATCTTATTCCTCATCAAATTTCCAGACAAAACTTAGTATCCATTGCCAACTTTCTCCTGGTTCAGCCACCATGATGACACTGGTAATTTTCTGTTTTAATCATTCTTTCTATATAGATTAGTTGGAAATTTACTGCAAAGAAGAATTTTTCCTTTTCCATCTTTTATTTACATATGTAAGCATGTATGTATTAATTTTTATACCAGCTTGAACTTGTAAGTTTCTAGTCTCTTCAGTCAGTTGTATTTTGACACTTTCATCATTTTGATGCTCAAGTTGTCCCAGATTTGTCTAGTAGGAGAGTCTTTAGAGTGGTTCATTTGATGTGTCCTCATCATTCTTTGAGCGTTGTCTTACTTTCTTGCACAATGAGATGGTCCAGATTCATTTTACATTTTTTCTGACCTAGACTTAGAATCAGCCCAACAGCTTTGAGTCACTTTAGAGGAGGATGATATTAAATTAAGGTCTGTGATGTTAGTGCTATCATTGCTACCAGAGTGTCATTGCTTCTGGCCTCTCTCAGTGGACAGAGCTAAGACATATATGTATTATACATGTACAATACACACACATACACAGCAAATATATATATATACATATATATATATATATACACATGCATCTATGACCATTTCTGTATCTCTCAGGATATGTATTTTAAAACCATGCATTCCTGCCAATATCTCTAATTCTATTCTGACACTTCAAGATTATTCTAGACTTCTGTTTTTCCACACTTACAAACAAATATCTCCTCCAACAGTAAGAAACCTGAGTCTTTTATCTTCAATGTATTTA